TGCCCGGCCATACCCGAGCAGATGGGTATTGAATGGAGCACTCGGTATACGCCCAGCGCTGCCCTGGCTGCCAGCATGGGGTGCCACCCCCAACCCGGTCCCGGCAGTGGGATCCCACCCGGTCTGTGCTGCTGGGGACACGTCAGGATGCAGCTGCTTCGACCCCAAAGCTGCGGTGCTGTCCTGCTCCCGAGCACGGGAGTCAGGGTCGGGCTTTCCTGCGAAGCCCCGTGAGGCACTCGGTCTCCAGCTCACCCCCACCTCACCCCCTCCGGCTCTTCCAGTTCTGGCTTCGTGGGAACAGACTGGGAACCCGCTCCTGCCTGCATTGCTGCCTGCTGCCCTCTCCTGCCCGCAGGCAGAAGTGCTGAGTGCTCCTGGCTGTGCTCTTTTCCGGGATCCTGGATTTGTCTTTTCAAGTCCTCTGCTCTCCCTGCACGGCTGTGACACTGCTACTGGCCCCAGTGGGGTGCAGGGGCTGTGGGACCCAGGCTGCTACTGCCCCTGGGCCAGCACGGACCTGGCAGGTTCTCCCGAGGGACCAGACTCTCCCCAGTAAACCAGGCAATGAGCATCATTTCCAGAAGAGCAGAGGACTCCAGCGCTGGAGCTGTCAGCCCCAGCTGCAAGAGCAGGGACAGGGCAGCAGGGCATGGATGTGGCTTCAGTGGCTTTTCCAGGGAGCTTGGTCTGCCAGTGTCCCTCAGCTCCTGCCCAACACCAAGCATCTCTGAACTGCTGCCACCAGCAGAGCTGTGCTGTGCCACCTGCCCCTCCATGGTCAGCAAGGACACTGTACACTCAGCACAGCTTGGGTGCCACACTCCTTCCCCACTCCCCTGCCAGCTCCTGCTCGCTTCAGTCTTCCTCACCCCCCCTGCTGATTTTCCTCTCACAGCCGTTACCTCCAGGCACTGTGCAGGGACTCTGTCTCCCTGTACTGCCCTGCACATGGAACCCACGTGCCAGGCAGAAGCTGTGGTGCCTCTGTAGCAGTCCCAGTCCCCCAAGCCCAGCCCTTGTTGTCCTCACCCTTTGGTGACATCTGTCCCATGCACGTCCCAGAGCATTCACAGGGCGATGGGATTTCTGCTGGCCGACATCTGCCCAGATGTGCCTGGATGAGGATGGAGAAGACTTTGCTGCTGCCCAGGCACAGCCTGTGTCCTCCAGTGTTTCAGCCTGGTCTCACAGCGACAGTTTCTCCTGCTAATGAGGCAGAACAGGTGGCTAATGAATGCTCCCAGGAGGGGAGGCAGGGCTTCAGTTTCAGAGGGCTTTGTTATCTGGGTGCTCGTAATCCAATCTCCCAGGCTTGGCTTCCAGAAGCAGATCTGATACTCATCTGCCCCTGAAAGGTGAGCGCCTTCACATCACACAGGCAGTCAGTCGCCAGACCCAATGCTGCTTCCAGGACTGCCACAGCCCCCCGGGGTGGTGCAGCCCCTCTGCCACCTCCCCTGAGGACCTGGGGAGGAGAGCATCCAGGTAGGGATGGGGGACAGGAATGGGGGAAGAAGGGGTGTCCACGTGAACCAGAATGCCTTTTGGAGAGGAAGCGGGGTCCTGGTGGTTGCTGGGAGAGGGTTGCAAATGTGTTGAGATGATGTTGGACCCCCCAGTTCCTCCCCACCAACCTGCATGTTCCCTGCTGCTGGCATCCACAGCACAGTGCTCCAGGACTGGCATGGAGCAGGGCTGTGGCATGGCCTGGCCCTCTGTGCACTGCTCCCACCTCCTCCCCACCCCATGGTGCCCACTGACCCATAGCCCCATGAAGGCAACTGGGATCTGGCCACACCCTGGGAGGGAAGGGGCATTCAGCACAGCTCACGGTGGTGACACAAGGTGACACACGGATAGCACAGCTCCATGGATGAGGGCACCCCAGAGCCCACCATAGGGCAGGGTTCCCAGTAGCCCCGGGAACTCACAGCCACTCCAGCTGCATGGAGCTGCTTTCTGCACTTCAGCTACAAGCTGATGTCCTTTCCCCAGCTTTAGGACTGACACATTTTCTTCCCTCTCTCTCCCTCCTCCCCCATTCCCCCAGCATGTCCCAGGCTGGTAGCAGCCCCTGTGCAGAGGACGGGGGGCCACGTGCCGAGGCACACATGCGCACCCCGAGCCGGGGCAGCCAGAAGCTTGAGTGCATCATCTGCTACTCCTCATATGACCTGTGTGGCCGACTGCCGCGCCGGCTCTACTGCGGCCATACGTTCTGCCAGGCCTGCCTCAAACGCCTGGACGCCGTCGCCAACGAGCAGCACTGGATCCCCTGCCCACAGTGCCGCCAAAATACGCCCACACCGCGCGGCGGTGTCACCATGCTCGACCTCGACCTGGCCACTTTCCTCCTCGTCAAGGCTGACAAGGAGCATCCCCGGGTGGCCGCACGCTCCCTGCAGGATGTGGCCACCAAGGGCTCGTGCAAGGAGCCGCCGGTCACGCAGCAGCCGCTGGGGCTGTGCCAAGATGCAGTGCCCCGGGCACCGTTCCCGAACCATGGCTGCTGCCGGCCGTGCATCTGCTGTGGGGTGACGGCAGCTTTTGAGAGCTGAATGTGGGGACATGAGGACAGCAGGGTTTGGTGGAGTGAAGCATTCTGTGCCTCCAAGCTGAGCTGGGGATCTCCATGCCACACCCCAGACTCATTGTGGATGGCACTGGTGGGGTTGTTCTGGTAGTCTTGGAAGGGCTCCAGCTTATCCATGGGCTTTTTCCCATTCTGCTTTTTCCCATTCTGGGATTTGGGCTGCAACGGGGGGGAAGAGGGTGCTCCTATCCTTCATCCTGCCGACTGACCCCTCTGGCAGCTCCAAACCTGCTCCAGCCATCACAGATGCTCCCAGGGCCTAACAGCACAGCTTCTCCATGCATGCAGCTCTGCAGTGGGGACACCTTCACCAGGACAGGGGGCATGGGAGCCTGACACAGCACAGTGACTCAGGGATTGTCCAGGGAGTGTGCCACACCCTGGAGGTCCCACATCCATTAAACATCTCCTGAGCTGCACACGTTGGTTGCATTTGTTGTTCATCCTCATGCTAACCTGGAGCAAGTCTTGTACCCAGAGCAGAAAGCAGGGACCTGATTTGCCCAATTGCTTTTCTTTGCTTGCTCTGTTTGTCATTTGCATGAGAAATATGGAGCACTGGGGCAGCTGGACAGTGAAAATTGAGGATGACATTGTCACTGGGGCTCTTTGGATTGACCTTGCCTCCAACTGCTGTGCTCTAGCACAATGTAGGCTTAGCAGATGCCAAATGTGGATGTCTGGGGTGCACTAGGGTGATGTTAATGCAGCCCCTAGGGAGGGATGGGTGGACTCTGAGTCCAGTTTCTGCATCCATTTTCATGTGGCTGATGAGTTCTTTCAATATCCCATTGCCAGGCACCACGGTGCCACCTAGGCTGTCCTGGTGCTCAGCTCTGCCCTGCACCAGCTGCCAGGACTGCAGCTGCAAGATCCCAATGCCCCCACTATGCACGGCACCCACACTGTGCACAGCACATTCACAGTTCTGCCACTTGGTGTCACCTACCACAGAAGAGTCGGAGCCCAGAGCTGTGCCCAGCAGAGTCCAGACATCTGCATCTCTATCGCTTCATTTTGGGAATGGTTTTGGCCTGTTGGCTGGGCACCCCATTTCAATCCCCTTGTGCAGTGCCTTCAGGACCACTGCCAACCAGCACAACCCTAGCACTGCTGTAGCACAGGGATGCTCAGAGCCACACCTGGTGCTGGCCCTGGGGCTGGGCTTTGGGAGCCAAAAAGCTCCAAAAGAGGCATGCCATGAGGTGCAGCTCTAGCTAGGGATGGGGACTTGCAGATGCTGTGCTTCCTGACCAGAGAAGGGGTCAGTGAAAGGGACCCAAAGGGCCATGCTGCTGTTGGTGTTGGGAATAGGGTGCCCAGCAGAGGACTTACAGGGATGGTGAGGGGATAGTGGTGGCACTGCTGGGGTGCAAGGCCCCACTGCTGGAGATGCATCTTGCTACTTGTCAGTGAGGTGTGCTACAGAGTGGCAGTGAGTGAGAGCTGTGAGATGCTTCACATCTTCAATGGGCTCCCTGAGCTTTTGCTGGAAATGACCTCGTAATCTTTTTCTTGACAATTTTTGCACCTCGGTGCATTGGGCAATGCACCTCTGAGTGCACTGGGTCCCCAAAAACTCAAATCCCCATTCATGCCAGGATGCTGCACATTAGTGGGTGCTGCAGGGCCCTGTGGAGCGTGGCTGTGCCCTACCCAGGCTGGGCTGGGCTGGGCTGTAAGATTCCTCTGAATTATTTCCAGATGGGGATTAATGCAGCACACTGAGTTTGCTGCAGGGTAAATAAACAAATCAAAGCTCCTCTGGAGGCTATTAATAAACCGGTCTGCCCGCTGCTCCTGCCCCGGATCTGAGAACATCCTGGATCTGGCTGAGGGTTCAAGTTCTGCAGGGTGGCAGGAGGTCCCCTGGGTCCTAAATGGCAAAGGAGCCATGAGGACACCTCCAATTCATTGCTGAGATGGGTGTCATGAGGTCCCCTGGTTCCCTGGGGTTCCCAGGGAACTGAGGCATGGGGAGCTAGAACCTCCCTCCTTCAGCACCTGCTGTGGGGCTTTGAAACCAGAGTACGTGTAAACAGGGTGGGGGCAGACTTTGAGCCCGCTGGTGCCGGCACTGCCATGCCAAGGGCAGGATGAACATGTTCCAAGTGGCAGCAGCCTGGCACAGCCACCTTCCTTGTGCTACCTCGAGTGGAGGTCACATCCCAGCTCTCCTCACCCTGCCCTGGCTGCCGGTCCCCAGCCAAGGGAAGCAGAGCCCAGCCAAGGGCTGCCCACAAGGGACAACTGGCAGGACCTCTGCTGATGACATGATTGATGCTTTGTCCAATCCTTGCCGGGTACTTTGCCCTGGGTCCTCTGTGCATCCTGTGAGCAGGATGGAGGCCAGAAGATTATGTTTTCCCCCTCCCCAGCCTGCAGTGCAAACAAGCAGTTAAATATGGACAGCACAGATCTGGCTGCTTACCTGGCTGGAGCAGTGCCTGGCAAGGGGAGGGGTGAGGGCAAGGCCGCACCTTGCCAGGGCAAGCATCACTGCAAAAATATTTGCTAAGAAAAGTGCAGCTCCACCCCGAGCACACCACAGCGTGCGGTGGGGAATGCGTGCAGCTACTGGGAGCCGGGCACATCCAGCTGCTCACTGCACCCAAGGGTGGCAGGCAGGGACGTGTGGCAGGGCAAGGAGAGGGGTGTTGGCATCCCGCCCTGGGGGCGACCCCGATGCCAGGGACCGGGGAGCCCCCACCGCGTGGGTGGGCAACCATGGGCAGATGGAGGGGTCCCAGCATCCTGCTGGCCGTACTGCTCCTCCTGTGCCCGCTGCCTGCTCCGGCGTGTCCCCACACCTGCCACTGCTGGGCTGGGGACGTGGACTGCCGCCAGCGTGCCCTGCACGAGGTGCCGCGGCTCCTGCCCACCAATGCCAGCACCCTCTGGCTCGGCTACAACCTCATCGCCGTGCTCGGGGCCCGTGCTTTCCCCTCCCTGCCGGTGCTGCTGCGGCTCAGCCTGACCCATAACCGCTTGGAGAAGATCCACCGGCAGGCGCTGCTGGGACTCGGGGCGCTGCAGGACCTGGACCTCAGTGACAACTACCTGACTGTGCTGAGCCCCGAGACCTTCCTGCCCCTCACCAGCCTGTCTATCCTCAACTTAGGCTACAACAGGCTGGAGGAGCTGGAGGCAGGGGTGCCACCTGCTTTGCCTCAGCTCCAAGCGATCTTCCTGAATGGGAACCCCTGGATGTGCTCCTGCAGCATCCTGCCCCTCTGGCACTGGCTGGGACACAACAGGGAGAAAGTGCCAGGTGAGTGCCCAGGGGAATGTGTTCCCACACCCCCATCTGCTCCATCCTTGCCGGGCTCCCCGTCAGCTGCCAGGCTTTGGGTGCAGGGTCTGGGTTTTCTGGAGGTGCTGCAATGTTCCCAAGAGCCAGCCCCATTTGGGTGGATTTGTCCTCAGATCTGGTTCCTGGTGGCTGCTCCTTGGTCACCAGCAGGGACTGTCCAGAGTGGTGGAGTGGGCACTGGCACCCAGTTCTTTCTCCTGCAGTCCTGCCAGAAGGAGGGCAAGGATAGGCAATGGGCACCTGTGGGGTGGGTTATCACACTTCCACTATGGGGAAGACCCTATAAGCGTGGGTCTGATCCACTGGTGAGGTCTCTCCTCCCACTCCTTCCCATCCACCTCCAATGGTGGGTCTTCCTGTGCCATTTCCCTAGACTGCCCACTCACTGCTGCCCCCAGGGAGCCATTCCCCACCCTGCCTGACCCATCCTGCCCTGGTCTGTGCCCACCTCCCCATCCCATCCCACTCCCCAGGGTATAGGACATGGATGAGTGTGGGACCCTCCCCGCTTCCTTTCTTTGAGCTTTACTCTGTGTTACTTTGACCAACCTGGCCCTGCAGTCCATTGTCCTGCCCTGGTCCCCTGTGTCCCACCTGCCTTGTCCCACCAGCCTCGTGTGCCTACCACCACCACTTCTCTCTTCCAGAGAGGACTTCTCTCCAGTGCATGTTCCCAGAGTCACTGAACACATACCCGATCATGGCCTTTGGGAATGATTCCTTCCAGCAGTGTCAGAAGGTCCCGCTGTCAGCCCAGAACTACGCTGCCTTTCTGCTCATCGGGCCTTTCTCCTTCCTGGCCAGCATCTTCTGCTGTACCTTGATAGGCTCCATCGTGGTCGTTTACCAGCATCTACGCAAGGAATCCCAAACCTGGAGGAGACCCCTCAGCAGTGGTGATCACTGAGTCAGGTCTACCAAGGGCTGAGGGACCTTTTGCTGATCCTTTTCCTCTGACTCACCCCCTCTTGTCCCTTTGCATGCATTTCAGTGTGCCCCATTTACCTCCTTGTGTCTTTCAGTGCTCTCATCACCCTCCACCCTGAACTCAGTGACTCTCAGCAATCCTTCACACATCCCTGCTGTTCCATGGTTTGGTTTTTGGTGCATTCACATCCCATCTGTTCGGCTTTATGTGTGCCCCAGATATCTCCATGGGCCTACCTGTGCATTTGAGGACCTCTTGGGTGCTTTTGGGGCAACCCAGATCCTCCATCCATGTGGCAGATGGAAGTAGAATCATAGAATCATGGAACCATTTGAGTTGGAAGGGATCTTTAAGGTCATTTGGTCCAACTTCCCTGCAATGAATAGGGACAGCTACAGCTCCATCAGGTGCTCTGAGCCCCATCCAGCCTGGCCCTGAATGTCTGTAGGAATGGAGCATCCACCACCTCTGGTAGTGCTTCACTACTCTTATTGTAAAAAAAAAAAAATTCTTATCTGCAAAAGTACAACTGGGGTGAAGGGGGTAACTCTCACAAAGGAGAAACAGTCCCTGTGCACTGCAAGGCAATGGGAGCCACAGTGAGATGCCTGTGAACATCAACCTTGCTCTATTATCTCCAATGGCATAGAAATGATCTCCTGCCTGTGCAAGAGCTGTGGGAGATGTTGGCAAACTTTTGGAAGAGGTTAAATAAATCACACAGAGAACAAACTAAAAGTAACCTCAGTTGTGACCTGCTCTCATTTTTATTGGCAAGACACAGACCAGCCCTGTGTGCATATGTGGCTCTCTGGGAAGGTTTGGGCTTCCCATAAGGAGCTAGGACCTTGCCTGCCATCCTCCATGGTCACCTGGCTCCCTGCTCCTCCCGAGGGCACAGCCATCCTCCCTGGGGACTCAAACTATTTTGGCCACTGGCTGGGAACATGGGGACAAATATCAAGCCCTGAAGAAGAAAGGAAGGCAAAGCTGGAAGGGAATGATATCATGGATGATGTCACAAGCTTATTGGGGGTTATATGGCATCGCAAAGGAAAACATTAGGAGGCAAAGGACATGTGGGGTTGCTGCTGGGCTCTTCTCTCTGCTTGTCTCCATGCTGGGCATGAGGATAAGGTCCTGCAGCGACTGGTGAGATGGCTGCTGTCACCAGCCCAAGGGGGGAAAGAAAAATATGTCCCAGCAGCCTCCACCCAGATTCCATTAGGATGGAAGTGGGCACAAGCCAGCTTGCATGGTGCTGGTGTTTGGCTTCAGCCTGGGTCTGTCCCCACCATCTCCATCCATCCTGGCATCCTAGAATAGGAACGCCTCACTCCTCCCAGCCCTCCCTGCAGCTCCTGGCCCTCTCCCTGCTCCATCCCTCCCTGTCCCCCCACCTTTTTGCCATGAGCCCTGCAGCAGTGCTGGGTGAGGCTCTGATTCAGCAAGGGCTTCCTGCCAGCTCTGCCGAGAGGCAGAAACAGATGGAGGCACACGGCGCGGCAATAAACCACTCCACAATCCAGTCTAGACTTTACTGAGCTCTTGCAAAAACTTGGTATCAATGTTACACTGACGTATAAAGTTGAATGGGCCTGATTTCTCAGCTGGAGTGAGATGAACTTGATGGAGCCACTGCAGTCAGTGGGACAATGCTCACAGACCCCAGCTGCCACCCGAAAATCTTGCCGGCCCTGTCTGCCACACCTGCTTGGCTGGGGCAAGGAGGAGGTGGTTCTCACCACAGGGGCTTGGTACCACATTGCAGGTGGGTTTTCTGCCCTTGCTGCTCGTACACACTCTGCAGGCTCTCATCCCCAACCTGGATGGTGTTTCCTGGGTGTTGGAGTGCCCATGGCTGCTTGAAACACCCGCCTGTAGAAGCTCTGTGCACGGGGAGGAGTAGCACTCAGCAGTCTTGTTCAGTCACCCTCTGCTGAGCTGGCATTCGGTTTGCCTTGTTTGTCTCCTGGTCAGGTCAGCTACAGTGTGAGAGTTACGTGCTGGCCATGGCCAGGCCTTGGGGATGCCTTGTGTGCAGATATGGGAAGCCAGGATCTTGGCTAGGAGATCCAGAGCACCACATTTGGTCATACCATGGGCACTGAGCGGGGGCTGATGGAGGGGAACGGGGCTCATACCCTGGCCACAAGAAGCGTGCACATCTCCCAGCCCTGCTGTGCTGGTGGCAGATCTCTGCATGGCAGCAGTCCCCGGCTGCTCCACGAGAACATCTCTGGGATCTGAGAGAACCCAGAGCCTGCAAAGCCAAGCACGTGGCTGCAGCCCGACACCGGCTCTTCCCTGTCACTGCAGGACAGCAGGCACCACGTGCCTTCCAAGTCCTTTCCCCTCGCACGCAGTCAGTCAGTGGCAATACTGATCAACAACAGCACTGGTTGGGAGCGGTTATCTCTGTACAGTGAAGTCCAAACCCTGTCCTGGTTCTGCCGTGCATTTTGGGGCGTGAGTATGGCAGCAGGCCTAGGGAGGGAGGGAGATATACAATGAAGTCACCGTGTATGGATGAAGGATGCTTTACTCCCATCTCACCCTGAAGAACCCATCAGTGTCCCTTGAGAGGCAGTCCTGGCTGTGCCTTCCTACTGTGCCGGGCAAGGACTGATGGCCCTTGGGGAGAAGGTCACACCACAGTGCTGACGGAGGGGTCGGAGAGGTTGAGCTGGCCGGTGATGTCAGTGGGATGGTATTGCTGCAACACACAAATACACAGACAGAGAGAGAGGAGCGTTAGGCAGTCCTGGCACTCGCCCCCGCATCTCCTCGCACCTCCTGTGTCCCTACGGGATATCTCTGGGGATGATGCAACGGCCCCTTATCTGCTCATGGCTGAGGTCTCCTGGCCGCTGTGTTCCGGCCTCGTGCAGAGGTCCTTGCAGACGCTCTCCATGCACCCTATGGCAGGATGGGGGGGACAATGGGGCATGGCGTGGTGCCTGGCACCACTGTAAAGCCAGCCCGCGCCTGCTTAAGGAGTGCCACAGGAAAAAGCTGTGACCTGCCAGCCCAACCCATGGCTGAGCATGTGGCTGCAGGGCATGGCCGGTGGCAGCTCCAGCTGTGCTTTGAGGCCATGGCAGTGCACCTCCTTGCCTGAGTGCCTCTGCTCTTCCTACCCTTCTGTGCAGGTGAGGAGCTGTGCTGTGTGGTGGATTGGCGACAAGCTGTAGCGTCACTTGCTAATGTGAAAGTGCAGCCTGTGCAGGAGATGTGGCCTGGATCTGGGGGTTCTGCACTCCTTGCAGCAGGGTGCTCAGCCAACACTCCTGGGAGAGACCTCCCCAGCTGCATCCCCACCAGCAGGGAGAGCAGAAACACCCCTCCAACAACCAAAAAAAAAGAAAAAAAAAGAAAAAAAAAGCCTTTCTCCCCAAGCAGGGGCTTGCAAATGGGCAGCTGATTCCTCCCTGCCTCCTTCATACGTCCTTCCTCTCATTCTCCTAGCTCCAAGCCCTGAGTGGGTGGGTGGCACCGATGCAGAACAGTGACTCTGACCCCTCTGTCATGCTGCTCTGGGGACCTAATGTGGTGCCAGGAAAAGGTGGGTCTCGTGCTGCTGTGTGAGCCCTCTCCATGGACATTCACCACTCTGCCTAGGAGGGCTACAGGTGTGCTGGGCTCCCATGGGCTCCTTGGTCTTTAGAAGGATTTTACAGGATTTAATGCATCCTGTGTTTGTCAGCAGCAACCATGGCCCCTGTGCCTCTGCTGGTGGCTCTGGCACTGTGGCTACCCTGTGTGGGGAGGTCTGGTGGCCCCTTGAGCACGGCATGGGCTGTTTGGGGTTCTCCTGCTTGGTTTGGGGCTTCACAAGCAGTGGGGAGCTGCTGGGGTGGGGATGGGAGCTAGCACAATCCTCATGTGGTGCATGTGGTGAGGCCATCATCTCTTGGGATGGCTCATCCATGTAGGGCACCAACAGCTATAAAAATGGAGCCTCTAAGATATCCCTCGTTGCTCTGCCAAGTGGCAACACTTTGGCTATCCCCTGGAGATGCTCATCTGCCAGTCTGCTCTGTCACCCTGAGGAGCTTTCTGTGGCATTCTGCTGGTCCACCAAAACCACACCTTTTCTAAAGGGATACAGCCAAAACCTCAGCTGCAGTAGCAAAGCTGAAGGAATGGGGCTGGAGCCCCACTAGCAGGAAAAGGCTTGGAGAGGGGAGAGGCAGGGCGGGCACCCATAGGAGAACGATGCCAGCCTCTGCCAGAGGAAGAGCTCCAGATAAAAAACTATACGGGCAGAAGAAAAGATCCTTTGTTAACCACCCTGACGCAACCAGGAAAAAAGCAGTGTGGGTGCGAATGCGTGTGCCTCGGTGCACGTGGACGTGGGGCAGCAAGGGGGGGCCCGGCGGGGCGGGATGGGACGGGGTGCTCTGCCCTCTCTGCACAGCTCTGGGGGACCCTGATGTCACCAAACGACCTGGGGAGCCTGGCAGGAGAACTGCGATACAGAGCGGGGCTTTGGGTTGAAAGCATATCTCCTCCAATCACAGAGTTATCACAGGGTAACATTCGCGTTTACTTTTTTTTTTTTTTTTTTTTTTTTGTGTAGAGTTCATGCATGCAGTTTTTAATATTAAAAAAAAAAAAAAGGAAAAAGAAAAAGGAAAAGGCAAAAAGAAAAAAGCAAGAAAATTTTCATATCAAAACTATGTTAAAGTAGAACTAATGCTAGAAGCACATATCAGTAATTTAGAGTAAATGATGTTACAGGGATGGTGCAATTATCCCCAAACCAAACATTATAAAGCCAAGAAATTAATTAATATTAACTGCAGAAGAGACTCAAACATGTTAAGGTATGGAAGTGAAGTGAAGGCACCAAAAACTTTAAATGACATCAGGAAGAAAATATAGACAAGAAATCAATATGTCTTTAAAAATGACTTCAACCTAATCTGGGTTCACATGGCAGACCCTGGCTTGGTGGAAGATTTTCTGGAAGAATTTGGGGTTTCTCTCTTTTTTTTTTTTCGATTAAAAATTAGGATTCCAGCTAAACACAATCTTGCTGTAGAAAATGTCAACTTTCCTTTAAAAAAAGAATAGTTGTATTTGGCCTACGGATGGTTGTTCGGGGCCAAAAACTAGGTTCTTTTTCAGCCAAAAAGCACTTGGTTTTGGGATGGCTGATCTCTCACTGAAAAGGTGACCTTTTCCATGTACCCCCTCCATTCTCGACCAGTTCTGGCATCGTCCCCACGCTCGTGGGGCCCTCGCTTGGCGGTGGCGTGGGACGTGTGCTGTGCTGTGCCTGGGGGGCCCGCGGGCTGGCAGTGGGGCTGTGGGGGCTGATGACGTCTGCAGTGTGGGCTAAGGGATCTGTGCGTCTCGGTACGTGTCTGTACGAAATGTGCCGGCTCGGAAGGTGTCTGTGTGGTTTATGCGTCTCACATGGCTTCTGTGGGGTTGCGGTAGCGTGGGTGGCTGCGATGGATGGCAGTACATCAGCTCTGCGAGTGCTATTCGAGTTGCAGGAGCTGCCTATGGGGAACACATGCATCTCCTCCTGGGGCGGTGGGGATGATGTGCCGCGGAGAGGCTGTGCAGCTCGGGTGATGGTGGGCGCTAGGACGTTCAGAGTGGGGTGGCAGCTTCCCGGGGCTGTCTTGGCTCCATGGTGCCAGCCTGTCTCTCTGGCACTCCTGAGGGACCATTCTGCAGGGCTGCAGAGCAGAATCCATTTTTAAAACTCCCGGCAACGAAAAGGGAAGAAACAAGGCCACCAGGTTTGCTAGCCAGAAGAGCCCATGGGGCTGGGGTCAGCCTGGCCTTCCAGCCCCATGGGCTCTCCAGCTTTGCCCAGCTGAGACCTGGTGTGGGCCCGCGGCTCTGCCAAGCATCATCGTAGAGCACCTCACTGCTTTCTCATCTTTACAAGGACCCCAGGCAATGTGACCCCGCATGCTACAACCTCATGGGGCCTTCCACAGCAGGAGGGCTTTGGGGTCTCTGAGCCAGGGCTGCTGAGTGGAAGCTGGGGGCACCAGATGGCAGGCTGTGACATAAGCTGATGACAGCACCTCCCGCTGGTCGCTCTCCCAGCGGAGTACACCAGCAGGTCTGCCCGACATCGCCACAAAGCTTACTCTGCTGCTTCCTGCCTTGGGCCTGCTAGCCTCAGCCTTGGAACTTCTTGGTTCAGATCTTGGACCTGTTGACCTCTTGGTAGCCCAACTAGCCTGATCCCCTTGGGAACATGTCCTGGGGCCCTTGCCATGGCACATCATGGAATGCAGATGGCCTTAATAGGCTTGCAGACAGCAGGGCCTCATAGTCTATAGCTGCCCCATAGCTGAGCTGTCACCAGAGTGGCAGTCATCATCTGGAGCCTTTGGTGTAAATGCCCCAGGCCCTGGGCAGCTCAGAGTGCTCCTACCACAGGCTACTGGGGTGACATGGGGCTGTGAATGCTGCACCATGAGCAGGATCAGGCCCAGGATCGTTGGAAAGGAAGTGGGGTGATGGACGAGGTACTGGGGTGCCCCATTGATCCTGGTGGAGCAGGCAGGCATCAGCCCCTGGCACTTGGGGAAGGGCACAATCATAGCCAGGACAAGGCATCAACTCTCCTGGCACTGGCCACATGCCTGCAGTGGACACGGGTCTCCCCAGGCTCCCACTTTGCTGTGATGTTTGCTGGCCTGGCTGTCCCAGGCCAGGACCTCCTGGCTTTCTAAACCTGGGAGACAACAAAACGTGGGGTTTGCTCCAAGCACCCCGAGGGCTTCCTTGCAGGTTTTTTTCCCCAACTGTCCCTTCTCCTCTTGGCTCTTATCACTCCCCACCTTCTCCTCACTGCATCTCCCACCCCATCTCTGCCTCCTGCCCCTGGTCAGGGTCCAGCCACCCAGAGCCTCCTCCAACCAACCTCAACCTGAGGATATGCATGGGTCTGGTTCTGGGGCACTGAGATGCTGGGGCACCACCAGGACAAGGAGCGTGGTGAGTGAAGGAGGTGGCAGGGATGCTCATCTTCCCCGTTGGGTATGGGTACAAGCAAGGAGAGCAAGGAGAGCACGAGTTCCCCAAGGAGTGCTTTGTGCGAGACGGTGGCAGCCGAGCCTGGCAGGGGGCTCAGCTGTCCCTGAGGCCATTTCCCAGGGTGCTGGGGACGGAGCCTGCCCTGGTGCCAAACGCAGCCGCTTCCATGCAGCACCGTGGCTGGAGACCCCTGCGACATCGCACGCCGCTCCCCCCCGCCAGCCTGCTGCCGTCCCCCCATCCCCGCCGTGCACCGCAGGGACCCCGCTGGCAGCAGCCGAGCGGCCCGTGGAGCGGAATTCGGGCAGCGCCCGCGTCCACACAAGACAACAGAGTAGCCACAGTGCAGAGTGTTGTACGACAGACGGCAACATGCAGAGGGACACTGGCTCAGTCCGACAGACCAACAGCCCAACCTGACGCTGGCGTGCCTGAAGCTCCAGCACGAGCAGACACGTTTGCACAGTGGGGAATGGCTGGCTTTAGAGGCAGCTATTTGGAAACGTTCTCTGGTTACGTGCGAGCAGCGGCTCTGCGAGGTGGAAAGCCCAAATTTGAAGCAGGCTGGGTCTGTAACGACCTCCTGTGCCTCCTCTTTGCTAGAGCAGCTCGGATGCTGCTGCTGATAACCAGAGAGAGCTGTCACTGCGCCGAGTGCTACGTCCCGAATGCTAATAGTCACAAACAAAAATCACATGTAGAGAATGCGACACGCATGGCTCTCGGTGAGGTGACACGGTGCCCAAATTAAATCGGGGTGATTGTTTTAGGCATACAATGACAAACAGGTACAGGAACACTCAGGAACAGAAAAATAAATAAATAAATAAAATGTCATCGGTTTCAAGAGGTCAGCACCGGTACGGTGAGCAAAGCACAGAGAGGAACGTCAGAAATCATCCAGGCAAAAAGAAAACGGAAACGAAACGAAAACTCGGTTGCATCTCCCAACTCATCACAGGACTCCAAAGCACCTCCTGCCTGCCCTCCAGGATCCCAGCATCCTCAAGGAACACGGGATGACTGACTGACTCACTGACTGACTGACTGGTGACGAACATGAGCTATGCATGTACACTGGCAGCTTCGGGATGGGTGTGTGGCAGTCGATGGGATGGCAGAAGAGAGAAAGAGAGAGAAAGAGAGAGGGCAGAATTGTTCTTCTTCCTCTTACCGTATCCTTGGAGGACCTACGTCTCTTGAAGCTGGAGGCCAGGGTGGAGGTGATGGACCTAAAAGTGGCTTTCTTTTTAGGGTCAGGTTCTGCTCTACCACTTTTTCTATCCTAAAATGAATATGTATAAGCGATTAGATCTCTAGTGTGCTGTTGGAAACGCTAAATCTACTTGAATACTGCCCCGTGTCATGTCCTTCATTTGGGTGAGCACGCTACCGGAGATGTCACTCCCAGTCCTCCAAGGGCCTCTGTGACCCGCAGGCACAGCGCGGCCGCCTCGCTGCTACAGCTACGGGGCCGGCCTCGCGTCCACAGTGCTGGAAACCCCTCTGGGAGCAGCCCTGCGTCTCCTGGGCGTCTGCCGGCAGCCTGCGGCGCTGACCTCGCTTCCTTGGGAGAGAACCTGGGGATGTGCTGCCTGGCCCTTCCCCTGGCCGCCACCGCCAGCCTGCCTACAGCGGGAGGTGGGATGCTGCTCCTGCACTACCAGCGCCTGCTCTGAGACTGAGTCCTAGCGCCACAAGAGAGAGAGAGGACTGCATCGAAAGAGAAGTCATTGTATGGGTATTCTGCAAAAAAAGGTATTCCAAAATTTAAATGACGCGTTTGTGCAAAGCCGAACGTGGTTGTTGGTGGTGTTTGTGGTGGTGGTGGTTTTGTTTGGTTGGTTGGTTGTTTTCCAAAGTAAAACCGGCTAAAAAAAAAAAAAAAAAAAGAAATAAATAAAAGAAAACTGGAAGAAAAAAAAAAAAAGGAAAAACAAAAAAAACAAAAAAAGAAAAGGAAAAGAAAGGGAGGAAGCAAAGCATATTAGCGCTATGATGTCATCAGGGTCGGGATGAACTCAAAGAGAAACAGAACTGAAAAATGTAGCCATTGGAGTTAGCGAGTCGGACCTGGTTGGCGCAGGCTGGGAGCACCAGCCGCCACGGTGCGGGGGCAGCGAGCCGTGGGGACCGGCCGCGCTCGGCGGCGGGCGCTGACAACGATTCCTCCCCAATTGCTTTCGTGCCAATGAGTGTGACCTTGCCGACGGGGGACGGAGTGACCAGGTCTGGCTCTGCTACCGCACGGGGGTAACCAAAATGTATCCCGCTGGTGCGTAGAGCATGCTCGGGGATACATTTGCTCCTCCTTCTCAGTTCTCTCTTTTGCGGACATGCACAAACGGAAAGGAAAGCAAGATGAATGGAATGAAATGTCTTTTTCTTCCATGGCATCTCAGGAAATAGCCATGGCAAAACTGTGATCCCAAAAACCATTATTTTTGTTTGTTTGTTTTAACAAATAAATCTTTCCACTTGCCTACCTTCTAGCAATGTACCAGATACTAGTGCTCTGACGTTTCCTCCTGTGGAAAAGTCTTACAATGTCAAACGGCTCTTTACCATGAGGCTGTTTATCCCCACAGGGCAGCATGCTTTGCTCACAGTCCCACAGACACTGCCCAAGGACCCAGTGCAGTATTTTCTAGAAGGTTGGCAAGTGAAAAATGGCAGTGCAACTAGTGTGCTCTGTCCCAGCAGCCTTAACCCCGTCGCTGCTGCTGCTTTTTGGAAGCAAAGGAAAAAAAAAAAAAGAAAAAAAAGAAGAATAAATAATAATAAAAAAAGAAACGGTTCTTCCGAAACTCGTATCAGTGAACTGAACCCGGCGAGCTCTCAGGATGTAGCAGCCCGGCCTCATGCTCCCCTCGCTGCCTTTGGGAAGATGACGTTCCTGAGCATCCCCCGCTGCTCCGTAGGGCACCCATCGTTGGGGGCTGTGTGCCTTTCACCACCCAAAGGATGCCTGGCGCTCTGAATGCAAACTTGCTTCCCTAAAGCGGGACACAGCCTGGAGGGTCCACGGAGAGCAGCCAGGTGGTCCTGGTGGCGAGGGCAGGGGAGGCTCGGGGACGTGCCCAGAGCTCGGTGCCAGCAGCAGGCACGTGGCTGCCCCTGGGCTCCTCTCACCTGGGGTGCTACAGAAATGGGAGATTCTGGGGGCAGATGTTCTTGTCCTCAACTGATAAGAGCACGCACCGCCTCTCTTTTGGAACCGCTTCGGATGCGGCAGGGTACCACAGCCCCAGGGGTGGGGAGGGAGAAGGAGGTGATGGAACTCTCCATTCCTGGAGCATTTCTGCACATGGGCAGCATGAGACTGCAGGGATGGGCAGCATGGCACTGCAGGGATGGGCAGCATGGGACTACGGGGATGAGATGCTCAGGGACCCAGGGCAGGGATGCTAGAAGGCTTCGGGGCAGGGATGCTTGGGACCACGGGGAAGGGATGCTCAGGACTGCAGGGAAGGGATGCTTGGCAGCTGCAGGTGAACCCTCCCTTCCTCTGCTGGTGAGCGTGGTGGAGCATATCAGAGATCCTGCATGAGGAGCTGCCAGAAACGCAGCTCTGACACATGGTCCCCAGCAGAGCAAGGTCATTGTCCCCAGCACTGCCAAGGGCAAACCATGGCATTTGGATCAGGTCTCTGTCCTGGACAGAGATGGGTACAATACCTCCCAGGGAGGTGACATTGGCCATGTGTGGCCCTGGGGACGAGCAGGGCCCCGCAGCTCACCAGCAGTGCAGTAACGCCCAGGGGAGTTACTGAGGATGGGACAGGGGACCCCATGTTAATCCACAGCTCTGCATTCACTGATTTGGTGAAGGAATGGAAAACGCACCTGTTGGAGATTTGCTCTAAAAACGGTTTGTCCTACCTGCAGGTTTTTCCTCCACACATTAACGGCCGCAAACGCCAGCTGCATCTGCTTCCTCCGCGCGTCCTTATGCCTTTTGTAAGCTATTTCTATGAATATTAAAAATATCCCGGCAACAATACCTCCAGCCACCAGCATAAACACACCTGAAATAAGTAGGAAAGTTACAGGGGGCAGTGGGAATTGCACCACGACACTTCATTTCCTCTGCATCGTGCTCAGCACGAGTGGCATGTGCCAGCCCCAGCCTCCCCACCTCCCCCAGTCCCAGAAGGGCAACCACAGGGATGGGCATGGGGTGGTGGGTGTAGGGTGTCTGCATGGGCTCCTAGCAGTCAGGCACTGGCACTGCTGCAGTGATGTTGTGGATGAGCATGTGTTGCTGTGGGCTGTACTGTGCACTGGGGCAGATCTCGTTCCCAGGGCTGTTTGCAGCAGAAAATCCCAGCTTTGGTGCTGCTGCTTGGTGTGTTGGGAAGCAGAGCATGCTCTGAGCTGCACACAGCTTGCTGTGACCTTCAGAGTCAGGGATAGTTGGGGATGGCGAGGTGGCACAGCATTCTGAGTCCCAAGAAATAGAATAAAGTGCTCCATCCCACCCTCAGTGGTGCCCATGGGACACTCCTAACCTTGCACTGTGCTGGTGGGGGGAAGAGAGCCCACATGGGGGAACCAAGCAGGCCCAAGGAGAGAAAAACATGGCATCAACCATCACACCAGCCCTCAGCCCCAGCACACTCTTTGGGGCAGCCCCACTGCAGCCAGCTCCCTTCTCTCCCCATCCGCTCCCTCTGCACCCATTGCACCCCAGCAGCTGCAGCTCAGCCAGACTGCAGGGAGGGGAGGGGAAGGACAGTCACGGCGGCCACTGGGTTGAGGAGGCTGCCCAAGGAAGGTAGAGAAAGCTTCGCAGAGCTGTTTTGGATGAGGTGGGATGGGAGCCCACCACAGCAGCCTCCCAGCACTAGGAAAGCACAAACCCACAAGAAGCAGAGCTTTGGCCCGGGAGGAGAGCTCAGGAGAGGAGAATGTCTTGAGTGAAAGCAGGCTACCCAGCGAAGAGGAAGAAAGAGGTTTGCAGAACAAACCTGCCATATTTTCAAAGGTGAGTGTTGCTGGGGCATTGCTACGGGAATCACACTCCTGATACCTCACCCAAGTCTTGTCCAAATCCTCCATGAAGCCGTTCTCGTGGGACCTGGAAGCACAAGGAGATGGGACAGTCACAGGAGACCTGGTGCAGGTGGCCAGGATGCTGGCCAGGATGCACACCCTCTGCCTTAGGACCCTGTGCATAACTGCAGCCTGCAGACAAACCTACGGATGATGTGTGTGCACAGGGTGTATGTGTGTTTGCACATATGATTTTTGTGCAAGGGGATAGGTCCCTTCTGTGAGGCTGGATCCCAGCAAGATCCCCACGGTGAGGTCTGGAACAGCCCAATGGCACAGCACTGGGATGGAGACAGAACAGAGAGCACATCCTTCCATGATGCTCCTGCATCTTGTTCCTGACACATCCCTATGCCCCACCACTGTCCCAGGATGCCTAAAGCTCTGGGCTTTCCCTTCTTATACCGGAATGAACCAAAGGGCTCTTGGTGCCTTTCCAGGCTTCACAGCCCAGTCCTGCTGCCATCCTTCAGCATGGTTCCCCCATAGGCAGGGTCTCAGGGCTCCTTATGTCACCCCAGTCCTGCAGGTAGTTTCACCAACAACAGCACGCTACATCTTCCCCTCTTTCCACTCTCTGGTTCCCATCCCCATCACCACACTCCCTTCTCTTCAATGAATGTAGCATTTCTAAACTAACACATGGAAATCCCTTTTTATCCGTGAGACCAGGTGCCTTGTGGCACACCATGCTGCAGGCTAATGCTGATAGTAGAGCCTCACTTGAGCTCTGGAGGGGACCTGAAGCATCTCTACCTAGCAGGACCAGAGCAGAAAGAACAGCCCTGGGGGGATGAAGCCAGGGGATGTGGGGAGAAGTATGCCCCATGGGAGGGTTTCAGTGCCTGACACGGGGCTACTTGCATGCTAGCACACATGCAGCTTGGGGCTGAGAGCTGTGTACGGACTTGAGGATGGCCAGCGAGACGTTCTGTTTCCACGGGCTGTCCTTGCGCATCCCAATCCCAAAGCCGGAGCGGAAGAAAAGTTCCCCTGTTGTCACCAGGTCACACTTCTGTGAGGCTTCAAACTCCAGCACTGCTGAGTCCCAGATGAAGGCGTGGAGCTTGCTGAACACCAAAGAGGACACTCATTAGGGTGGGCAGCCTGACTTGTCTGCAGCCACTGCAGGAGCAGCGAGGGAGCTACCAGCTCTAAATTAAGACCTATGCATGAGGATCAGCATCCTGCTTACTCCCCCCAGCCCCTGCCCAGCGAGGTGCAGGTGCCACTCACTTGTCTCGCACAGCCTGGATGGCTTCGGCTGCACTCTCATAGTTGTGTTTCTCCATGTGCCGGTACATGGTGCTCAGCTCCACCTGCCGTCGGAAGTAGATGTCCACCGAGCTCTGCTTCACCGTGGCGTAAATGAACTTATCGGAGGGGTTGCGCAGCTGAAAGGCAACGGCAGAGCTCCTATTTCTTCTGTTCTACATCAACCAAACTGCCTCACCCCAAAACTGTGTTTCCTGATTTCCCATCCCATTCAGCAATCTGTTTCCCAGTGAAGATATCTCGATCACCTCAGTGGAGCTGCAGATGCCATGGTGGATGCTGCAGTGCTCAGGATGGGACAGGGGATGCTCTGGGGCCACAGTGGTGGACAGTGGATGCTCTGTGACGGGGACTCCACAGCACTGAGGATGCAGGAACCCTCCCCCCCCCAGTGAAATGGGGCTGATGGTGATGAGGGTAGAAGATGCTGTGAGGTGTGGGATGCAGTGGGCTGGTACTGCTGTGGAGTGCATTCCTGGCTGCTCGGATTGATAGGCTGTAGCTGTGTCCTTGCCAGAGCAGGAAATGGGTTTGAGTCATGATGGTATCTGCTGAGAGTATTGACTGCACCGCAGGGACAATTTCATTAGCTATAACTCATCCATAATGAATCGTTTCCTCGTTGGTTAGTGCAGGCTCTCCAGGAATTGGCAGCAGTTTGGCTGGACAGGCTTTTGCTCTACTGATCCCTGCCTGTGTATTTCCATCCCCACCCAGGCACAGACCCACACTAAATAGGGCTCTAGGTGCTACCAGCCACCAAATCAGGAGGTACACACTGGAGGCATCTGCATCTCTGCTTAGAGATGGGCAGGAAAGGGAATTGAAACAAGAGATCATTACCCGGGGGTCATTGATGCCTGTAATTCTCTCCTCAGGGCGGTCCAACACCAGGAAGGCAGCCAGGTTGGCAGTATAGGAAGCCACAATGATCATAGCAAAGCCAGCCCACACCATGCCCAGAATACGAGCAGAGAAACTCCGGGGAGCACCTGGAAAGAGAGAGGAGAGCTCAGACTGGCATGACAAGAACTTGACCAAAGCTGTGGCCACCTCACACAAGATGAATGGCATCTACAGATGTGCCCTATCCAACAGATGTGTGAAGAGCTTCTGTGTTATCCAAACAAAGAAGAACATCCTGCTGGATGAGTAACACCAGGAAGGACCTTTCCCATCACTGATGGTGAAGGCTGGCAGGATGGTCCGCAGCAGCTGTGCCATGAGTCTGCCACCCCCCAGCACCCCAAGTACCCCTCTGAGGAAGTCTCGGGGGACAAGAGCTGTACTATTTTTCACTGGTCTCCCAGGGCACAGATAAGAGCATGTGGAAAGGGGCACAGGCCCCTTTTGGGTCCCTTGGATCCATGACAGTGTTCAGGGCAGAGCAGCATCACTGCCCGCTGCAACACACCTTCTCCAATGCCAGAGTTCAGCAGGACTCCCCAGGAGAACCACATGGCTGAGGAGAGTGTTAGTGCATCTTCCTCCTCCTCCTCGCTGTTCACTTTGAACCGTCCAAATGGGCTGGAAAACAAGAACAAGAGCTCTTCTGATGTCCCTTATCCTGTTTCTCCAGGCTTTCTTCTGTGCCCTAAGCACTCTGATGCAGCCTTACAGCATTGATCCCTGCAGACAACACTTGTACCCCACACTGCTCTTCATCTCTGGCTGGCTCCATAGCCCATATGTCCCTCACACAGCCTTTCATGTCTCCTCTGCTGGCCTGCAACCATGTCTACCTCACGCTGGTGCTGCTCTCATCACATTTGTCTCCAGGCTACAAAGACCATCTGTGTGACACCTCCCCTTCACCTGCAGCCCCTTAGTGGCCCACGGGGCACTCACCTGAATCGATCTAGAAGGTACAGCATCACTGCCACCACGTGCACAGACAGCCCCACCAGCAGCCAGAGTGTACTCTGGAAGGGCTGCATGAATGAATCCAGGGTGCTGCGGGGGATTTCCTAGCACAAAGGAGAGAGGCAGGCAGTGCTGAGACCCACCGAGTCTGCACCCTGCCCACCCCACCCCTCCTACAAGCAGTCCAGTCCATACCTTCTTCACAAGGATGGTGAGACCCTGGTACTTGAAGGGCTTGGAGAACTCGATGTACTGTGCCCGCTCATTGTTGATGGTGAGGGGAGCCACAATCATATCTGCCTGGCCGCTCAGCAACTCCCCCATCATCCCATTCCACTCCTTCTTGTTGCTGTTGTTCACCTGCCAGAGATCCCGTGCAGGATCAGCCCCTGCCCTATCACCCATCCCCACTGGCCAGCTCTGCTCTGGAGAACGGCTTGGCCATGTTTTGACATATGATGTGAAAGAAGTGATGCCCCAAGCTGCCTACACTCACCCGCTCTTGCGTACCAAATTTACCATCAGCCACCAGATGAACCTCGTAGGTGAAGTTCATCACACCAGCCAGGCGGATGAGCAGGTCGATGCAGAAGCCGTAGCAACACAGTGCCACAGTGGGCCGGCCTGTGGGCAAGAGAAAATGGGGGGAACACGTGGAGACGGCCCTCTGCCAGGGACCCCATGCAGGACCCATAGCTCTCCCAAGGGAAAACAGCCGCCTGTGTGGCTTTAGTTTCAAACCATGTTGAAGTGGAGGGAATGGGAGCATGTCAGAAGACAGCAACATGGGGTGCAATCCCTCAAAGTAGCCTTGGAAACCACACAGAAGTGAGGCAGCAGGAAAGTCATCTGCTGGGGTCACAAATGTGCCAGGTGGGCTGGGGATGCTGCTGTGCTCACTGCCAGATGGAGTTACCTGGGATGGTCTCGTTGGGCCCTGTGCAAAAGACCTTTTTGACAGGGTCACCATTGATGGTGAATTCCTCCCTGCACGTCCCATCTGCTTGTGTGGGCTTCACATACACAAAGGGCTCTTGGTGAATCGTTACAATCTGTGGGGAAAGCACAAGTATCCAGTTGCTCCATCCCCTTCCAGAGCTGTCCCCACCCGGATGGGGAGTGGGGCTGCCTTCTCCAGGCAAACATGGCCACAGTGCCACAGTGCCACCCCCATGGATCACGCAGTCCTGCAGCAGGACCTGACTTTGGCATGGGGAGACATTCATCTGTCTTCTCTCCAAGATGAGGATCAGACAAGCCAGCCTTCCTCATGTGGAAAATTTTCCCTGTCCTCGAAGTCCTTCTCACCCATTGCCATAAGTGCAAGCTGATGAGAGTCACCGCACTGCTGGCATTCATGCTCTGGCCTGTGCTCTAGTCTCTACCACATTGCCATGAGCAAATGTGAGTCTTCCAGTCCTACCCAGGACATTCTTAGTAAAGCAGCATCCCAATGCCTCTGCATCACCTCTGCAGGAATCACAGCCAGTAGGAGTGTGTGATTCACCCTGCCTGGACAGAAGGACCAGCGAAGAGGAGCACTGGCAAGACCAGCTTGCCCAGTCACCAAAGAGGCTCCAGAGAAAGGCATGACAAGCAGAGCAAGCATGGAGGGACATTCCCCCACTGTCATCTTCAGTTTTTGGCCATCAGCTGTTCACAGATTTCCGGAGCCCAGCTCTGCAGCTATCAGCCCACCTACTCCTTGTTAGCTTAGTCACCTTCTGAACCTATTTCCTTCTGATCTTCTGGCCTCAGCAGCAAAAAGCTCCAGATTGAGGCTTTGCATTGGCTGCACATGCTGCAAATCTGTGCCAAGTACCCTCTGACTCCCATGCCGTAAGGAACAGCAAACACCTTCTCCCTCCACTCTGTCATTTCCCTCATTTCTCTCATTTCCCATTTCCATCTGTCTCCTTCTCAACCAGAGGGCACCACGCTTATAGTTTGGCTCCAGGAGGAAGCTATGCTCTGCTCTGAACACTCTCTCTAGCGCCTTTGCTAAATGTCTCTGCTATGGCCTCTCTGGAATTGAAGGTTCTGGCAGCTGAAGGGGCAGCAGCACAGAATCATGGAATCACAGAATGGCCAGGGTTGGAAGGGACCTCAAGGATCATGAATCTCCAACCCCCCTGCCACATGCAGGGCCACCAACCTCCCCATCTAATACTAGACCGGGATGCCCAGGGCAGCAGGATGTGGATGAAATCACAGCACCTGCTGCCATTTGTTGTTACCTTCAATTTGGTCGACATCTGATAGCCTTGAGGTTTCTCAGTTTCTCCCCCTGGCCAGATTATCTTCCGGTCGTTGGTCAAGACCTGCGATCAGTGCCAGAGGAAGGAGATAGACATGAGGCCATGGGTAGACACACCAACACACCTCAACCCACCTTCCTGTCCAGGCCTGTACGTACATTGCTACCGTTGTAAATCCCAACCTGGACCAGTTTGCGGTTCTGCAGGTTCATGATGCTGTAATTGGCAAACTTCCTGTCCCCGTCCTCATTGAATTCTACCCGTCCGGTGACACCCTCTGAATACTTGGAGGACATTAACACCCTACAAAGAGAAACACAGTGGGCTGACCTAAAAAACCTGCTGTGGCTATTGGGAGATCTAAGAAGGGATCAGAAGTCTTTCTCTCAATTGCCTGACATTTTCATATGCTCATTACCTTACATTTTCTTTGATACCTATGATCCATTCACAGCTTGGTGGTCATTGGTAGTCTGAGTCATGTTTCCTAGATGCTACACTACTACATCTGTTGTCATTGTCCCCTCTTTTCTACCAGATCAGTTCCATTTTCCTATGGAATGATTTAGCTCAGTCTTCTATACTGCAGCACCCAAAGAAATCTTTGGGGCACCCTGGGAGCTGCATCCATACCACAGTTCCTACTGCTTCTGTCTGCCACCAGTTCATCACAACCTTACTAATGCTCCATGCATGCACATATACTACAAAGGACCAGCCCCCCAGAACTGGAAAGGTGTTAAAGAAGACACAGAATGGATGGGGCCACTTGAAATGTGCCATAGAGAGCAACATCTAATGGCTCATGCCAAAGTTTGTACCACTGCAGGAGATGCTAGAAACCTTTCCAAAATAAGTTTCAGACTCTGCAGGTCCCAGGTTTAACAGAACCGAGAGACAGAAAGAGCATCCTACATAACATCATGACTGCAGAGAGCAACCCCCACTGTTGGAACAAAGTGCCAGGCTGCATGCTGCACAAAGCAGTACTCCTGCACAGGGAACCGCATGCAGAGGGAATTGCTGTTTTGTCCATATTCAGCCTGCAGAAGAGACCCTTGTCTCTCCACTATCTGCAGAGGTGCAGCAGAAAATACCATGCAGCATAAAGGTCAGGTTCTGGGCACTGCATACAGCCCATCTTATCGCCCATGGCAGTGAGATCCAACATGTGTGCTCCAATCCTGCACTGCCTGACCTGATCTGCTGCCAAAAACGTGGCTCCAGGATTTGATACAGTGGAGAGCAGCCTGCCCCATGGTCTTGTGCCCCCACACTTTGCCAGTACAGTTGAATTACCCAGTGCTTGCAGCACTGAGATCTGATCTGACAGACAATCCCCCTATCCTGATTTGGCAGAAAACCCATTTCTCTCCTTTCCCAAACACTTCATTAAGATCCAGAAATGAGGAAAGCATCCTTCAGTGGCCCCATGTCTCTTTACATGGGCATCACCCCTGGCTTATCCCAGTTGTCCAAGCATTGCCCAGTAAATGCCCATGGGATGGCATGGACTGAACTGGTGCCAGGCACCAATGTGTGAGCCTGTGCTCCCATCTTTTCAAGTTCCTTCCTCTTGACAAAATGGCATTCACCCTTCCCCAGTTACCTCTTGAAAAGGGGCCCTGTCTTCCAGATGTTGGTGTTGCCCACACAGCCCCGTGGTGGGTCGGTGATGTTCTCCTTCTCAAACAAGTCATGCACAGCCTGGGCCACCACCGCCACCGCGTCACTTATGTGGGCTGACTCATTTTTCCCATTGATGAGCTGCAAGCCGATGACTCCTGTAATGAGTAGAGGAACGGATCATCCCCACTGGGCTCTGGTGTTTTTCCCATGTGTAGGATTTGGGACAAGCGAGCACCCAGCTGTGGGACTTGGGACACTTCAGACACACTGAGGGAGTTGCATGAGCTTCAGTGCTGGGCTGGCATTGCTGTGCCTGCCAAAGGGTGATGGGGTAGCAATGTGAGCCATTGACATCAGTGCTCCATCCCCATCCCACTGCCCAAGCATTTCCTCAGGAGACAGTCAGCCTCAAAGCACTGGACAGCTGGGTTTGGGCAATGGCAGTATGGCAGGGCTCTCAGGCTGCTGCCACCCCATTCAGACACAGTGGGATTCAACACATGCTTGGGACCACCATGGCATGGTGTGCCCCTGGACCACTTGCCCCAGCCCCAGACAAGCTTCTGTCCAGCAGCAGTGTGGATGCCTCTGGTGGGTGCCTACCATCAGGGGCGTAGCGCAGGGCATTGCCCGAAATCTCCCGTTCCCCCACCAGCCACACGTAGCCGGAGCCCGTCATATTGAGCATGGCTGCTGATCTGTACACTGTTGCCGCATCATCCTCACTGCAATGAGAAGAAGGGAATGGCAGTGTAGCTCCGGGTGCCAGATGGACCCCCTTCATCCTGCCTTCTACCCCTGGGAACCCTGGGCAGCTCCCTCTGATCCCCTCTGACAGATGGTTCTCCTGGGCAATGGGTAACTCCCCGATACACTGGGAGGCTTTCTCCCAGCTTCCTCTAACCCCACAGCACCCAGCAAATCTGGCCCATTCCTTATCACTCACCATCTATAAGAATGGGGCAATGAGACACCCTTCCTTTGCAGGGGGCTCGGGATATCACTGATAACACCTCACTGACATCCAGACACCTCTACCATGACCATCACTGCGATATATGGTACCTCCCTGGGATGTGGAACTTCATGCGGATTTTCTCCCATGCTCCCTAAAAATGACAACGTGCCCCTAATCTGCATGGACTCCAGTGCTGGGCAGAGTTGCAGGGGGGAAGTGAGGGCCCCACGGGCCTTACCTGGCGGAGAGGATGATGACACGAGCCTCCAGCTCTTTAGCTTCCAGCAGCAGCGATGTCACGTTTTTGGTCCCGGGGTCAAACTGCAGCACTTTCTCAGCCTGCGATTAGTGTGAGCAAAGCTGGTTAGTGCGGGAGACTGAGGACTGCTTGTGAGAGCCATGCTATCTAGAAAAGGGTCAAGAAAATTCATTAAACTGCACGAAAGTCTGCTAAATAAGATTGGTTACAGCTAGGTTTTTTTCTTATTTTCTTTTCTTTTCTGTTCTTTCTTTCTTTCCTTCCTTCCTTTCTCTTTTAACGTTTTGTTTTTTGATCTTTTTTTTTTTTTTTTTTTTTTTTTTTGCACTGTGCATGCAAACTGAAGTCAATCAAGACCCAAAAAGAGGCGTGCATTGTACAGGAAAGAGAAAAAGGCTTTGAAATGCAATTGAAAACTCAAACGAGTGTTGTTTTTCAAAAACATGGGAAATGAAAAAAAACATTGCACAGGGTTAACCTTTGGGAGTAAAAGTGAACGACTTACACCAAGGAACCGTTTCCTTTAGGGAGGAAAGGGGGTTGGTTCAACTTTCCAAAAAAAAACAAAAACAAAAAACTTGCAAGTTAATTACTGGTTCACATGCATGTCTCAAAAAGAAATCCTTCCAGGGTCAGCTGGCTAGGTTTCCATTCTCAAGTCCAAACCAAACTATCTCAACATAAAAACGTGCTACCAAGAAACATAGTCATGGATCTTTTTTCTTTCTTTCTCTTTTCTTTTTTCTCTTTCTCTTTTTTCTTTTTATTTTTTTTATTTTTTTTATTTTTTTCTGGTGGCTGTGGCTATTTTTCATTTGCTAGTTAGGTTGGTGGGCGGCGTGCATTTCCATGCATATATACCTTGGGTCCTCGCTTGTTGTCATAGGAAAGTTGGTCGAGGTTTTCATAGTTCCTTTTTTTACTCTGATGAATAATGTGCACAGAGAAAATATGTAGACACAGAAGAATATTATAAACAGTTGAAAATGACGTGTAGTAAAGCAATCCAACATCCACCTCCTCCTCCACTGTTTGCTAAAGGGTCTCTATAACGCTGGAGCTCGCAAAAACCACTATCAGGAGAGAGTGCCTCAGCTCTCGCGGGAGCGTCACGGTGCAAAGCAAGCCTGAGTGTCACAGCTGTCACGATGCAGTTGCATTTCCCTTTGGGACTGGGGAATTCTTCAGCAAGAAATTTATATCTTAAGCACAGAAACAATCTACGCATCTCTAAGGGCCTAAGTGGTGGGAATTCCATGGAATTACTGTGGAAGTAAAGGACAAAATGTTGTGTACGGAAAGTGCTGGATAAACACAAGCTGTTACAATCAATAGCATTATCATTGCTACCGTTACTATTACCATTACAATCCTGTTTGCCCTAAGAGAGTTCACAGCAAGTGAGGAGCTGAGCTTCACCTCCTGCAAGGAGGGAGCAGCGTTTTGGAGCTCAGTTGCCATCCAAAAGAGAGAGGAAAAAAAGCTTGCTAGGTCCTGTGTTGGCTCAAAGCATGGCAATATGAAGCAATGGTGACCATGGGATGACACTGTGGCTGTAATTTGGTGCTCTGGGGGCACCTGGTGGCTTTGCAGCACATGAGTGGCCTCGGGAGGTGCTGGGGACTGGGGACCTGTCCCCTCGCATCATCCTGTGGTCCTGTCAGTGACAACCTGAGAGCACCTGCAGGACAGCTCTTGGCAGTTTTTGGTGGGACAGTCTGACCCTTTCTTCTCAGCCCTTTCCCACCCATCTGGGCATCCCTAACCTGCATGTATGGGACACAGCTCTACTCCAATCTCCACTTTGCAGCATCTTATGGCAACTGATTTCTGCCAGGAACCCGACCCTTTGCACCCCTGTAACACCAGGGTTCCATTTCCCAGGTCGATCCTGAGGCAGCCAGCCTCTGCTTCTGCATCTTGCTTTCCACACTAAACAGCTTGCTTCTTCCTGAGCTCTCTGGCCAGTCTTCAGCTTTTCCAGCTCTCCAATCTGTGCAGTTTTGTGATTTTTCCATTCCTCTCCTTGAATACTTTTCACCATTCTAAGAAGTCGAGATCTTGCAAGGAAAAGAATCTGAGGAAGAAAAATGTGTTTCGAGCCCAGCTCCGCCTTCATTCTAAGTGCCGTTCATGGTGGGAAATACTACAAGTGCTTCTTTGAGTCTGCTCAGATCGTAGTGAGACCTGGAGGAACACTGCCTTTGAGGAGAGCAGGGCTGCAGCAGCACAGCATGAACACTCTCCAGAGGCGAGACGTTGGCTGTTTTCATTGTTTTCAGGTGCCATCAGTTTGACCGGAAACCTGGTCATGCATTCTGCAGCCTCCAGATGTGATTGAGTTCAAGTGCCTGGGGTGCTGGCACCTCAACTGGAGCCGGTCAGCAAAGTGAAGCAGAGTCTTGGACCCAACACAATTGGACCTAATGGCATCTGATCACTTCTACCTCCCCCTGCCCCCATCTCTAATGTAGTGACCAGCAATGGCAGTGTCTCTTCTCTTTCCAATTTTTGGTTCCGCAGCACTTCCCTACTCCTCTGCCCATGTTTCACATAGGGACCCACAGTATCAAAATTCACGCTCCACATTCTCCAACATTAACTTAAAAATTATTGCTTGCATGAACGTCACAGTTTCAGAGGAAGGGAGGTGCCACACCGGGGACTTGCCATCTCTGACCTGGACAGATCCTGATGTTCATAGCATCTTGTACCCAAGCTGAACCCAAGCAGCAGTGGAGGTCAGTGAGTGTCTGAGCTGTACCACTCAGGATGAAGCAGCAGACCCTAGGGAAGTTTTTGCAGACATCTCAGGCAAGTTTAGCACATGCAGAGTACTAGGGCTGGCCAATGCTGGGCTCCAAGCACCTGTTCGAAGCATTTATCCACGTCTGAGGAACACCACGTCCTGACGTTGACTTCAGGAGACAAGCCATGGTCCAGGATCCAGGTGAGGCTCTGACCCACAGCAGATCTCTCAGGTCCTTGGGAGCTGTGATTCATGCTTTGAAGAAGTCAGAGCTGCTCTCCTGCCTGCTCCTCCCAGGGTCCAGGCTGCTCCAGAAGAGGTTAGAGAGGGATCTATGACATCACCTCACAGCATAAAGTGAGCACACCAGTGATTAGAAGAGTGATGAGGCAGCAGAAGAGACTGAGGAAGAAGGGAATGCCCTGATGGGAATAGCTACCACTTTTCAGAGCAGCCAGGCCAGCCAGTTGGTCACAGCAAGTTCTCTAAGGGAAAGAGAAGATCCCAAAGGGAAGGTGTGGTGACCTACCACCACAGAGCACAAGTCCCAGTCTGGTGGATGACCAGGACATCTGGAGCAGCTTCATGGTTGCCACGAGACACCAAAACATCACAGATTCAGACACAGGGCAGGTCTGCCCTGCCTTTCAGACCAAGGTCTTGAAGGCTTTCCTGTTTGATGGGCAAGCAAAGAAGAAATTCACCCCGTGCCTGGAAGCATGGAACTGGATGAGAAGAGTGTAGGCATCAGAGGAAGCAGAAAATGATGCATGGGAGCTGCAGGAAAATAACAGGTGGAAAGATGCAAGGTCTTGCAAGAGATGCAAGATAAGGGAGAGCAGACTTGCAACAGGAACAGCGCTTCTACAGATATCTCTTGGACACTGAAAGAGGTGTTGGGGAGGAACATGGTCCTGCTGTGACCCAACAGAAAGGTGCCTTGGGAAGCAGGAGGATGCCATGCTCAGTGGCACACCAGTGGCTCATGATTCCTCAGACTGCAGCAAGGGTGAAACTTCAAGCGCCAAAACCAAAGCCTATTGGTCAGCATGGACCTCTGCACCAGTGGTTCCTTCAGTGGCTTGACAAGAGGTGACTGCTCTTAACTCGGATGCCAGCTCCAAGCATCTACAACTGCATCTCCTTGGCATCTGACTGCCAAACATCCAGCAGTCACTGGTGGGACTGGAAGAGAGCGGACTGCATCCCTGCCTGCGAGCCAGGAGGGAGATGGAAGGAATGGTGCCAGCCCTGAAGCTACAGGAGGTGGCCCAAAGAGGACCTAGCACTGCTTCAAGCCAGATGATGTGCTGAGACTTCACCCCTTGGGGCAGTCTGCTCCTTGCTTTCCAAGTAGGTGGCTGCCTTTGAACGACTGCAGCCAACCAGCTCTCTGCGTTGTCCTTTCCTGCTCGTCTTGAATGCTTTGCTTGATCCCATCACTCAGGTCGGTGGTCGTCCCTGCCAGATTTCTGGCAGGCTTGAGGTCCTCCCCTGCCTTCCTCCCTGCTCCCTGCATGCCCTGGGTGCAGGTGCCACACACCTCCTCGATAAAGCTGCACCCATGAGCCTCAACCACACCCTGGTGACATTATGGGGTGTCAGGAAAGCAGCGTTTAGCATGTGCTTCAATGGAGATGGGAACGGGCACCAGCCTAACGCCTCGGAGCCGACAGCTTTATAGAGAGGGTGCGTGACACCTCCGCGCATCAACGCGCCGGCCGCCCTCACCCCTCCTACCACTAAGGTGAGCACCAGTTTGCCAATTCAGAAGCTGCTTTCTGGGTTGGTTTGGCACTGCTGGATGGGCTGTAAGTGGGGCAGGTGCTTCCCTAAGCTGAGCGACTGGTCCTCTCCTTAGGTGGGACTCTTGGGCGAGGCATTTGCAGAGCTCCAGGTTATCCTTCCCTTCATTTTGTAGTCGATTTACATGTAGGAGATTTTGACCATGGCAAAGCAAGTGAAATGAATAAAGTACAAAGTTCTGTCAGGTACTAGTCAGACACTGTTGATGCTTTAAGCATGTTAGCCATGTTACAATGGAAAGAAAAGGTGTTTTACATACAGAAATCTACATACATACAACAGCCCGAGACTTCTAGTTTTGTTGTTGTTGCTTAAACAAAGCTACAAGACAATGTTCAGGAACTGACCTTGGACTCTCTCTCCTCCAAGAGGGTCTCCAGCTTCTTTTGTGCAGCACGACCTTCGTGGTCGTCGCTGACTATCAGAATGACGTGATTCCAGTTGAAGACTCTCATCATCTCAAACCAGACGTTGGCCTGGTGAGAGTATGGTGGGACCGTGCGCAAAAAGGACAGGTGGATGCTCTGCAAGGAAGAACAAGAGCTCAACATAGACTGGTGTGGGTCAGCTGCCAGCATGCATCTCAGGGACCGGGTTTGCATGGACAGGGCTGTGAACATAGGCCAGAGAGACAAAGTTCTCTGTAATCCTGTGGGCTGCACACCTTCAGATAGAATCATGGAATCACAGAATCATTAAGGACGGAAAAGACCTCTAAGATCATCTGGCCCAAGCGTCCACCTATCACCAACTTTGCTCAGTAAACCATGTCCCTTAGTACTGCATCTCCACAATTCTTGAACACTTCCAGGGGCAGTGACTGCCCTGCCTCCCTGTGCAGCCTGTTCCAGTGCCCAACCACGCTCTCAGAGAAGAATTGTTTCCTAAAAAAAAATATATGGTTCCCACATTCCTTTCTTTCAGCTGAGAAGCAAACCTTGGCTATGATTTCATGCTTTTCTGTGGCCAATTCATTGCATGGGAGAGAGGTTTTTTTGCTTTGTTACCCACAGATCCGTGCTGAAGAACAACCTACACAGGAACAAACTGTCAGAAACATTCAGTGCAAATATAGCCTCTCTTTTTGCTTATCCAAAAATATTACAGGGCGGTGGGCACTGAAGGGAAAACTTTGCCTTCAGAGCATGGTAAGGAGCAGCTGCAGGTACATACAGGTATGCAGCGGCCATTTGTCAGGAGGAAAGCTCAGAGAAGCAGTTTTATAACGTGCTGTTGGGCTGTTTCTAGGTCAGCTTGTTCTGCAGCAGCATGCAGGAGGAGGCAGTGCTGGACTCCTGCCCCAGCGAGCCAATCTGATTTGGTTAAAGACATCATTATGGTTGGCTGATTGAGCAATAGCGATTCCAGCTTAATTAAGTTCAGAACTCTTTGGGGAGCAATTGGACCAAAAGCAGTAGCTAGCAGAGAGGTTTCAAAAAATGCAGCTTCTCCAAAAGGCCCTGGAGTCAGCTATTAGAAAATGGCAGTGCTTGTACTCAGCATGGATGCTGCTCAACGAAGCAGCCCTGCGCAGGAGGGAGGCAGAGGACAGAAAGAATAGCACAGTAATGCTTGCTTTTAAGGGCTGAAAAGATCCCCAGGGCCAACCAGCTCTTGTCCAGAGCTGCTCACCCAGCATGGGTCACAGGTGTCCAGCTCAGGCTGGAAGGACAAGGTATTGTACCACCATAGATCTCCATAGGAGGAGCAGCCAGAGCAACCACTGCCTCTTTCACACGCACAGCACAGCACGAAGCCCTGTCAAAGCAAGCAGCACACAGATAACAGGCACAGCTCCTGTTCTGGCCATGTCTCCATGCACAGAGACAAGTGAAGGATGGTGGACAGCTGACCCAAAGCAAAGAAATGCAGTGGCAAGCAGCAAAATGCTGGAGCACTGCAAACACTCCCTGATTATGGGAAGCAGGGAAGAGCTGTGGCTTTTTTCTAGTGCCTCAAGCATCTTGCAGCCCAGGAGCTGCAAAAATGCTGTTTGAACTGATCCTCTCTTTCTTAAGTGTTGTAAATACATACCTCAAGGTTTGGATGAACAAATTTTACCACTGAGATTTTAACCAGAAGCTTGATGTAACAGTTCCACAAATGTTTTGAAATAGGGTCAGAAGGGTCCTGGGCTCATTATGACGGTATCTCATCTTTTGGATTAGAAAATTGTAACTTTTCTATGGGGTATTGAAAAAACCAGAGTGTAAATTCTGAGTTGGTATTTCAAGATGAGCAATCCCATTCTGTATTTGGAAGCATGTGGGACTCCTGAGCTTCTCTGCAGAGCCCAGAGCTCATCAGAGAACTGGCAGTAAATGCCCCTAAAGTTAACAAGTCCAACTGATGATGTGCAGGAAATGTTGAGGATCAGGTTTTGTGTGATTTGATAACAAATAGCATACACCCTGGCTTTCCACAGTTCTCTTGCAAAGCCCTCTGAAAAACAGCATAGTTTTCCTGGCCTTTGGAATGGAGCATATGGGGCTATCCTGCAAGCTATGGGATGCATTGATCAATGCATTTATTTAGCCCTTTTTTTTTTTTTTTGCAGATGACTATTATTACGTGCTTCAGCTCTTCAGCTTCCTGCAGCACCTTCCTGTCTCCAACCAAAATCTGGCTGCTCAGCTCTGTGCTTCCCCACTGAGCTCTGCTTCTGGGGTAAAATATGATGGCCGGGCCTGATTCAGCTTCCAAAGGGAGTTCAATCCAGCTGAATCCCAAGTACACTGGGGCGATGGTGGTCACAAGGCTGGGGATGTGCTGGGAATTGCACAGTGCTAGTGCTGCTGGCTTTGGTGGTGTGTGAATGTGTGAAGAGAGCTGAGGTTGAGAAGACACCTGGATTTGTCTGTACATGAGGCTGTGGGACAACTAGGTACTACAGGTGTGCTCACACAGGGACCATGTGCAGGTCCATGAGTAGGAGTGGTGTCTTCTATATCTTCCTGCCTAAGGGCTCACCGCAGCTCCCTGTCCACGGCTGGTACTGTGATTCTTCCTACAGGATTCATGCAAGAATATTATACTCTATGGGAATCATCACCAGTGCCCCTCTCAGCAACATGCCCCAAAGTTGAGCTGTGTGGGAAATCTCAAGGAGACTTGGTAGAAATCCCAACATAGGAAGTTCCTAATAATTACTCAAAACCCATCAGCTGGGTGCTAAAAAGACTCTGTGGAAGGACCCTGTGTTTCTGTGCTGCCTGCTCTGCTCAGCCTGCCCACCCCTCAGAGGCACTGCAGGTATGGGAGGAAGCTGAAAGAACTGCAGCAACTCAGTCGTGTGCTGGGAGGTGGTTCAGTGGGGGCTGATGCACGAGGAGTTCAGTTGGGCTCCATTCACAGTGCTCAGCCCATATGGAACATTGGTGAAGGAACAGGGGATGGTTTCATAAGATGCACCAAGGAGACCAAACAAAGGCTGCTGAGCTGGCTGCAAGCCCATTTCTGGAACAAACACTTCTTTGAATGTTGGGAGCAGGAACATTTGCTCCCCTCAGGTATCTCCACAGAAAGACTGAGAACCATGCTTGACTGGAGATGCTAGGAGAGCATCAGAAGGCTCTGGGAAACCTGTTTTGTGAGGCCCACGCCTCCCCTCTCAATCAGTTTAACCTTGGGAGGACCATAATTAACTCTGAGTCTTCAAACCCCTCTGAAATTTAGCTAAAATTGGCTGATGCCTTCAAAACCAATCAGGGGCAGCACACAAAATGATCGTACAAGTGTGTTTCCATAGAAACGAAGCCGAAAGCTATAATTTCCTGAATTAAAAAAAAATAAAATATCAGCATGCTGATGACTGCAAAGCCAAAAGGGAAGCAGCTGAGTGTCCCAGCGCTGCACCAGCCCATCCTGCAGAGCTGCACATCACTTCATCCCATGCCCTCACCTTTTCCTTTCCTGTTCTCTCTCCCACTTGGGAGTTCCCTCCAGCCCATTATTCAACCTTCTTGCTCCTCTCTTCACCCAGCCCTTCCCTGTGCCCACATTCCCATTGGCACCACAGCTCTCTGCAGGGAGTGCACTGAGGCTCAAGGGGTGAGATGTGCCCTCTGCAGCCCTTCAGCTGCCCCACTGCCTGGTGGGGAGCATCTCCATCCTGCTGCCATGGGCCCCCCTCCGGCTCTGAGGCAGAAAACACCTTCTAAATAGGAAAACATGGATAAGGCTCTCACCCTCTCAGCTCAAGGTCATCCTCTGGAAAGGGTAATCAGGGCTCTGCTGAGAACAAACGGGACCAGCAACATGTGGGTCCCGGATCCCTGCACATCTCTCCTGCTGGCATTGCTGATCAAACCCAGCTCCATCCTGCAGCAGCACCAGCCCCATCTCTGCTGCCCTGGCCCCCTGCTCCTCTGGTTTCTGCCACTCAGCCCATCTCTGTCCCCCTTCCACAGTGCTGTGACCCAGCGGGGTGTGCACATCCCCAGCCCCCATTGTTGTTGTGGTCAGGGATTGCTGGCTGTCTTGCCACGGTTTCACCAAGCCCTGCAGCTGCTCCTGCACAGCAGCCTTGATGGTTTGGCTCTCTGTGAGCCTCTGCTCCTCCCCTCCTAAAATTTGGCTTCATTTAGCATGTGGGTGGAGTGACTATTTTTGCACTGAACATTTGCATTTGTGAATATTCACATTTCCCAAGTAAAGGCTGATGACTCGTGCTCTGACTCGTGCTCTGCAGCGGGCCTGATGCCACGCACTGAGCTCGTGCACCTGAACAAAACCTTTCACCAGGGCTGTGTGCACACTGGGCAACCTGGCCCTGCTGCTTTTGCTCTCAGTGATCTCACTGTGACGTGGGGCTGGGAGCTGAGGGCACACAGTCAGAGAGCATCTCAGCTGAGGAGGATGGTGTGAGACACTGAAATGTGAATCCTTGAGTGCTCATGGAATGGATGGGTTGGAAGGGACCATAAAGCCCATCCAGTCCCAACCCCTGCCACAGGCAGGGACACCCGCAGTAGCCCAGGGTGCCTGCAGCCCCACCCAACCCAGCCTTTAGCACCCCCAGGGATGGGGCATCAGCCACAGGATAACCATGAGCTGATTCTATTTGCTTCCCTAGTAACATCATGTGAACCTCTTCCCCTCCACAGGTGCCCCACACCCGGGGAGCACCCAGAACCCCCCCCAGGCACGGGGGCAGGAGTGAGTGACAGCACTTGGCTTGGCTGGAGAGCAGCGAGCCCAACAGCCTGTCAGGGAAATGCTGCAGAAATCATCCTGCACTATGTAGGTCAACACTGGCAGCTGCGAAAAAAGGATGTTCCGGGGATGTGAGAGAGGGAGGGAGCTGCAGTTTGAAATGGAGAGGGTGAATGGACAGACAGACACATAGATAGCGTTTAACATATCAACCCTCCTGATGGGCACTCTCGATTTACACCACATGTATGAGGTACTAGACTAGAAACATGCATCAGTTACCTTATCAGAATATATAGACATGCGTGTTGTCAGACCAATGACAGGGATCCTGTAGAAGCCAGCTGTGTATGATACGGGTGTTGGTGTTAGGTGATCGTTGGGAGCAGGTGGGTGACTAACTAATATTGCATAGACCTGCAGGACAGGATACATGACACAAACATTATTTCACAGGAGCACATCAGCCATCGAGGGTGATTTTCCTTTTCTGCAACGTTAAAGAGCCCCACGTTAGCACAATAACAGCAATCAAATCATCAGCAGCAAAGCAACAACTGCACTGGGGGAGGCTGGTGTGCCCAATGCTTGGAGGGGGTGGGGCTGCACAGGTTTGGACCTTCATGGAAGTGCCACGCCGAGATGCTTGGCTAAACTAATAACTTCCATGGATTACAGATTAAAGGGAAGCATCTCCCTTACAGTCGCACTGTGTAATGCGATTTCTTTAACCACACATTTAATACTGGGTTGTAATTCCCCTCTGAGGACTATTACATACAAAGTGGTCAGCTGGGAATTGGAGTGGGAGGAAGAGCACCAAGCCACAGTGCGCATCGGCCATCTGGCTCCAGGCACATGGGAAAGCTGGGGGGGACGGGGAGAGCGGTTCTAGGGCAGGAACAGAAGCATGCTGAGTGCTGGGTGCTGGGTGCTGGACTGTACCAAACTGGGGAAAGAGAATGCCAGCGATATCTTGCTGTGATGAGAGGGCTGGGATCCAACAGGATCCTGGTTTCTGTCAAATGGAGTGGGAAGGAGCTGGTAAACCCCGGGGGACCCTTTGTTTGAGGAATGTCCTCTGCTGGCAGCAGGTCTCCTGCTAGGGATGAATCTGCACAAGGACTTCAATGCCCGTGAGGAGACAGAACTTCTTCCCTCCTCCAAGCATCTGTCCCAGTGCTGGGACGTGCTGTGCACCCTGCCTCAGGGCAGGATGGATGAGGAGGAGGAGGGATGGCTGGGGACAGGGACGGGGGACGGGGAACAGGGTGGGACGAGGGGCAGGGTTTGGAGCCCCTACCGTGGGAGAAGGGGGACACTACTGAGGGCAGCATGTGGGGGTGTGGGGAAGCAGGAAGGGGTGCTTGGTGCCCAGTTGACACAAGGAGTGTGTGAGGGGCTGTGTCAGCAGGGCTGGGACGTGTCTTGGGGACAGGTCGTTGGGTAGCAGTGGGCAGGGAGAGAGGCGGGAGGCAAGGGCTGCACAGGCAGCACAGCAGCTGACCGAGAGGAGCCATTTTGCGGGGCCGGCACAGTGCCAGTGAGCTGGGGTGGGAACAGCTGAGCCCTACAGCTCCACGGGGCCAGGAATTTGGGCATTGCGATGGCACAGCAACCCCAGCACCCTGATCCCCAGCACTGAAGCCCTCTCTGCATTGCAACGGAGCAGTGGCCCCAGCCCATGGGATTTGCTCTGGGGACGAGGCTTAGAGGTGGCCTGGACATTGATCAGCTGGGATACAAAATGAATCTCAGCCCTGCAAGGGACCCAACCGAGCTGCAAGGAACCCAAGCAGTCTATGGTGTCCCTGGGGACGCCTCCAGCCACCCCCACCTCTGGCTAAGGAACCCGTGTCCCAGTCAGCTGCCACCTCCAGCTCCCTGCCCCCTGGCTGGCTGGCTGCGTGCTGGGCATGCATGCACCCATCATGACTGTATGCGTGTGTTCCCATGGTGCAGGTGTTGCATGCATTGTGTGCATCCCTGTGTACCCATGCACAGCTCTGCAGGCACCTTCTGCATGTGTGCAAGGTGGGTCAGGTGCCCATGTGTCCACCTACACACTCAGAGCTTAAGCAGGGTCAAAGCACATGCATAGCAGTGTGTGCACATGTGTGTATGTATGCTCGTGTGTGTATGCTCCAGGTTTGTGCCCATGTGTCCCATGCATTTGTGGCACTGGGGGAGCAGTGATGCTGTGTGGGTGATGTGAGTGTGTGAGCTGTGGTGCAGCTGTTCAGATGTGCACCCTGCAATGTGTGTGTGCATGCAGTATTTTATGTGTGCCCGTGCTTGCAGTGCACAGTGGGACATGCTAGTGAGGCAGTGTGTGTGTCTGTGCACTGGTGCAGTGTGTGCACACGGATGTGGCATATGCACCGTGTGCAAAGCAGTGCTGCATGCTGTCTTCATATGCAGCATTCTGAGTGTGTGCCCGTGTTTGAACGATGCACGCATGCACATGACATGTGTGCACACAGCACATCCCGCGGGCGCTCCTGCAGCGCTCCACGAGAGCACAGTGGGTGTGCATGCGTGGTGCTCCCGTGTCCACACGCAGCGTGTTCATGCCCACGCGTGCACCCACCTCTGCTCACACCCACGGTGTGCACGCGTGTCGCCGCGCGTGTGCCCGCGTGCAGTGGGTGCGTGCCCGCACCGCCGCTCGCTTACATAAAGGCTGCAATGCGGGCAGCGGCGCCCCGAGGCGGCGGGGCAGGACCCCAACCCGCGGCTCTGCCTTCCCCGAGCCCCGGGGGGGGCACCGCGAGGTGGAGGCGGCTCGGAGCCCTCCGGGGACGGGGCGCGGGGCTCCGACGATGGGGTCGCCGGCCCGGGGTACCTGGCTGGAGATGAGGTCCTCGCAGACGGAGAGAGCCATCTGAATGGCGTTGGGTTTGTGCGTGACCGAGGTGGCGTTGAGCTGCAGCTTCCAGGTACCGTGCCGCTTGTTGGCCTGGTTCACCGCCTCGCGGAAGATCTGCTCGTGCTTCTTGGTGCTCAGCACCGCGCCGATATTGACGATCTTGGGGTCGCAGCCGGCGCGTGCGAAAGAGGAGGAGAAGAGCAGGGCGAGCAGCAGCAGCCGCATGGTGCTCATCCACGGGCGGCCCGGATCCCGCCGGGTCCCCGCCCGCTGCCCGCCGCCCGCCGGCTCAGCTCGGCCCCATGCGGCCCGGCCCGAAGCGGCGCGGCGCGGGGAGCTCTCCTTGGTGCTGAACCGCCCGCTCCGCTCCGCGCCGCTCCGCCCGCCGGCGGCTCCTCCCGCTCCGCGGCCCCGCGCTGCCGCAGCGCCCTCCCCCGGCCCGCCCCCGGCCCCCGCGGCAGCGGGAGGGACCCCGGGTCGGCCCCGGGCGCTGCGGCAGCGCCGCTCCGGGTGGGGTCGGTGTGAGACCCCGGCTGCTGCTCTCTGACCCGCCTCGACTCCTGCTCCCTCCGTATGGGTTCAATAAGGGTAGCCCCGCGTGCTGCTCCCTTCCATGCCGGCCCACCCGGGAGCCCGAGGAAGGACGGAGGGAGGGACGGAGTCAGCCCTGAGGAGGCTGCGGGAGCCCCGAGGACCGCATGGCTGGGGTCTGGCTCCTGCACCACATGGGAGCATCGCTGGTGCAGGGGGCTGTCCAGGTGTGGCTGAGCATCCAGCTGCCAGGAAAGCATTTCCAGGGGTCCGACTCCTTTCTCATCTTTTCTCTTGCGCTCTCAACCATTCAGGGTGTGAGCGTTCCCATTACTCTGGGAAGCACGATCACACCCCATGTGGGGTAAAACGAGGTCTCCTGGGTTTGTTTTTCCCTGCAAATATTCCTAACTACACAGCACCTCTGACACACATCCCCATCCCCATCTGGGGTGAACTGCCCCGGACGTGAATGTCACCAGGAATTTTCACTCCAGAGCTGGAGAATCTTGGCCAGCACATCTCTGGAGAACAATGGTTAAGCAGCACCCATCTGATTCCTGTCTTTATTTTATCCCTCCAGGCAGAGCCACCATTCTTGCAGGAGTACCTCATGGAGCAACTAGGGCAGGTTTTCACCATTCAGTTCTGTCCATTAAGTCTGGGCAACGACCTAGAGATTCTTCTTGCGGTTCTCTCGCTCTTTCTGACCCTCAGCTACCATTTGCCTTCCCGAGGGGACACGGGGCCATAGCAGCTGCTGGCCAACATCTGGAGCTCCATGGTGAAAGCTGCCGGGTTTCCCTCTTGCACCACCTCTCTCCAGTTGCAGGAACATTGCACACCAGAGCTGTTGCTTTGGCCCTTTTGGAAACAAAAAACAAAGGGGCTGTGGGTAGCCACAGTGTGTTGCTTTGTAGCTGCATGGGACAAATGCCATCGGCTGTATGCCAGCCAAGAGAGCAGGCTGAGCACTGCAGAAGAAAAATCACCAGAGATATTTTTACATCAGCCATTTTGAGGGTATTGCCGCAGCCCACCTCTGTGCTTGTTTTGCAACGTGAGTGGAAGCAGAATTTTCTCCCCCAACGCAAATTTTCTCACTGGCATCTCTGAAGTGCAAGTTGCCATGGAAACCATTTTGCCTGGGTCCCACGTTGCCCACACGCGCTCGCATGAAGCTGCAGAAGCAAAATGGCCGTTGTGCAATGCCACAGGGTCGCAGCCTTGAGGGGCTGCCGTGCTTCACAGCTCTGTGCCAGCAAGGAGACCCAGCAGAGAGCCTACAGCTGCTGGGAGAGCAATGGAGCCCATTGCAGCTACGATGCAGCGGGTGAGAGAAGGAGCATGGCCCCACCTTGCCTTAACTCTTGCAGTGCTCTGCATGCAGCTCCACAGCGATCCTGCTGTGCTCTCAGCACAGACATCCATGCACATGTCACCCTGTTCAGTGCCACTGCACTGCTCCCTCTCCTCCACACATGGAGCTGAGGGTCTTATAGTGCTCGCATGTGGCTTTGCCCACCCTGCAGGCTCTCTTGGAGGGATGGAGTGTATGGATAAGTAGAGATGCATCCGTACCGGTGGTCTGCATATATCTGACTTCATTTCCTCCTCTTCTCACCAACTGAAATCACAGAACCACAGAACATCCCGAGCTGGAAAGGACCCATGGGGATCATGGAGCCCAACCTGACCCCACACAGCACCACCCAAACCCCAACCCTACAACTGAGAGCGATGTCCCTGCACTCTGAGCTCTGTCAGCTCGGGGCTGTTCCCACTGCCCTTAGGGGCAGACCTTTATCCTCACGCCCAGCCTGACCCTCCCCTGACAGCTCCATGCCATCAGGAACCCAGGTCTAAAGCACTGTGTCATCTCCATTCATTTTTCCCTCTAGAGGCTGTTGTTCCTGGCACCAGGAACAGCCCAGATCACAAGCTCCTGCAGCAAGGCTCAGCCCGCACAGACGCTCTCACTGCACGGCTTCCACTCATGCTGTGTCCTCAGGCTCTTTGATCATCTGAAGGCAATGGGTGCATGCAGGGTTTTCGCAGGGTGAGAGCTGTGTAAATGGTGGGTACAACTGCATCCACCAGCTGATCTGTGTGAAGACTCTGCAGCAAGCAACTGTCTTTGCTTTCCCTGTGGCTTCCTCCTGACTTGTTATGGCAACCTTCTTAATCATGGTTTGCTGCAAGCAATTAACAGTTGCCTGTTAGCAATTAGCACGTGCATAATATGATGCTGCTTTTTACGTCTGGCACCTTCTGGATGCAGGAGAGACGAGCTGCAAGATGGGGTCAATGCTTGTGTTGTGTCCCATTGCTTGGGAATGGTGTGAGCCTTTCTTGGGCAGAGAAAAGCCACACAGAACTGAGAGGCTTCAGGGAAGCAGCACTGAACCCAAATATATGTTTCATCTGCCCTGGGAAAAGGCATCAGCCCCAGTGGGGGAAAAGACAATATGAAATTTCATAAGTGAGGAAATTAAGTGTTAGGAATATATGAGCCTTGCTAATCATCATGGAGCTACTAAACAAGCTGAATTCCTCTTCTGAGAAAGTTAAAATTTAATTGAAATCAGAAAATGTGTGGCTCTAATATGGGTTCCAGTGATGCTTTTAGCGTTCATCTACAAGACAGAAGAGTGGTGAAGTTAATGCATGAAACCAAGCAAAGCACCTACTGAGTGCTGCCTATGGCAGAGCTCTGCAAGCTGCTGTCAGTGAAGAGCTATAAGTGGAAAAACTGTTGCCAATGTGTAGACTGTATTCTTCACAGGTTATAAGGTCCACAGAAGTTATTTGGAGAAAAGCTCTGTTTCTATAGAGAGTGTGAGGTGGATGAAATGGAAGCATGTTGCCTGTGGGTGCTGCCAAGTGGGAGCAAGGCCAGGGCTCTCAGCACTGGAGGGGCCACTTCCAGAGCCATTCCTCAACACTTCAACACACCTGGGGCAGGTGAGATGGTGAATATGAAATAAGACTTTCTGATGTCCAACCTTCCCCTTCTCACACAGTCAAGATTCCATGGCTGGAGCCTTCATCACAATCAGGAAATGTTGTTTGGACATCGTATCCAGGAGATATTGGATGTTGCTGCTCAGTGGTGAATCCCATGCCCTAGGTACCCTGCAAGCAGAGGAACCCTGTTGGTCTCTCCCACATGATTCTGTTTGCCTTCAGATGGGGAGCCCAGAACTGGACACAATAAGAAATAATCCAGATATTCTCTCCCCAGGGCAGAGTAGAGGATGAGGAGATCCCCCTCACCCTGCTGGCCACGCTCTTTGTAATGCAGCCCAGTGCACTATTGGCCTTCTTGGCCATGAGGGCACACTAGTGTCTCATGGTCAACTTGATGGCCATCAGGACACCAAGGTCCTTCTCAGATGTGGCCAGTGGAGCCACTAGGCAGCACAGCTCCTGGCACAGCTCACCTCCTTGTTGGCTCTGCCCAGCTCTCCCTGCAGGACACAGGATCTGGGATTTATGGACATTTGCCACCCTTGTGAGCACAGTGTGGCTGGAGAGAGTGGGACACAAAACACCAGTGGCCAGAGGCAAAGATGGTGTAAAAAATAACAACAGTCTGAAATAAGAAGGGACTTACATGCACAGATATGCATGATCTAATGCAAAGTAGGAGCAAGTGGGAACTTTCATTGGAATAATTTTCTAAAGGAAAAGCAACGTAGATACATTTGAAATATTCTGTAGGGAAATATTTTTGACAAATACTGATTTCCTTCTTTAAAATGAAAAAAGAGATGGTTGGGCTTCGTCTGCCATGCACAACAAGCATGCCTGGGGACTTCCAGCCCCCCATGGCTGCTGCATAGCAGAGGCCTGGAAGGAGTTCTGCCTAATGGTCAGTGCTGGGGGCTTCCTGCACATCTTCATGTCTCTCCCTGAAGAGAAAGCTACATCCATCTCCTCAGAGCCCCTTTAACTGCACTCCTGAGCCTTCAGACCTGCTCCAAGTAGCTTGTGCCAGTGCTCAGAGCTCTCCTCACATCGTGGGGCCCAGCCCTGTAGTTGGCTTTCCAGTCCCACCAGTTGACTTCCCTTCCATTGCCCTCCAATTGGCTCCCAACATCCTCCTAGTTTCTTTCAATGACCCGTTGACATTTGTTGACCTCTCAGTGATCCCTAGTTGACCTCCAGTCCCATCAGTTGACTTCCCAGTCCCTCCCAGAATTCTCTAGTTGGCTCCCAAGACCCTCCCAGTCTGACCAGTTGACCTCCCATTCCCTCCCTGCTCTGCAGTGCCCCCACAGCTCTGCTATGAAGAAAGGCTGGGCTTGTTTGGTCTTCCATTGGTAAATGGAAGGCTCTGAGAAGACATCACTGCAACATTTAAGGCATAAAGACAGCTTGTAAGAAAGGTGGAGATAGACTTTTTACCAGAGTCTGTAGTGACAGGACAAAGGGCAATTGTTATAAACTGAAAGAAGGGAGGCTTAGATAGACACAAAGAAGAAATAGTTTAATGAGAGCAGTGACACTGGAACAGTTTGCTCAAAGAAACTGTGGAAGCCCCCACATGCCATTGGAAGTGTTCAAAGTCAGGACAGACAGGGTTTTGAGCATTTAATTTAGAGAAAGATGTCCCTGGCTGTGGCAGGGAGCTTGGGCCAGGTCACCTCCAAAGGTCCCTTCAGACCCAAACCTTTCTATGATTCTGTGATCCTATGACA